GGGTTCAATTCCTGGTGGTGCTCAAATGTATAACTTGTGTTGGGCAAGGCCGTGGTCTAGGCATCACGGAGTTTTCCTCCGGGGGCTTCCCCGGTTTCTCCGTGTCATCCCAACAATTACTCCACTCACACCCAGAAGAAGGCAATGGCAAACCACTTCTGATCATCTCTGCCAAGAATGTATATATGTATGAGCAGGTCCATGACAACCTGAAGAGGTTGGAAGGATCCTGTTCATAATATATGGACCTGTCGTCAGACAGAACACTACAAATAAATAAAAAAATATAAGCATACTAAGAATATAATACCATAAAAGACGAGAGAAGAAGTAAGTTGAGGGACATACATCCTTTTTGCACCTTTAACACAAAGACTTGTTACGCATTTCAAAGGACGTTATGACTTAGTCAGCAAACTGACTCGTGCCTGAGTTCGATCACAAGACTGTCGACATTTTCTTAACAACTGAGAACTGGGAAAAGGTAAGGGTCTTTGTGTTTCTTTCCTTCTAGTGAGTAACGACTGCTCTTTCGCTGGGAACTTCGAATCCTTGTACGCGTGGTGAACATTTGGAATTGCATGCAAAGGAAGACGTATTTTCTACGTCTGCCTGTAGACGCAACGACGGATGTAGACAGGCGGGAATGCGACGAAGGAAGAAATATACGAAGTTTCCAGTTACATGGTAATAAAACCATCGCGGCTGTTCCATTTTATCTACATCAACAATTTTAAAAGAGACGTTTATTGAACGAATTTCAAAGTTCATATAGACAAATAATAACCTATTTACCTATTTGTAAGTTTTAAGGAGGTATAATTTAACATACTTCTGATACAAAGAACAGTCGGTTGACTGTGTTTGAAGAAACATTCTTTACTTATTCCGAGAAACGTAAACGTCTCTGAATGTACTGTGTGAGCTACACACCTATTCATGACGTTATTAGTGCTGCTTATATCCTAATTATTGGGATAAAGTACATGGTCTCACATAAACATAAGATTATATTTAAAGCAGTCATTTTGTTTCAATAATTTTCTTTAACCAAGTCATAAGTTCTCTGAGAAAATGTATTCTGTTTCAACATTTTACAACTGTTTAACTAAGGCAAGAAATGTTGAATAAACTTATCTTCTTACATTGTCATCTTCACAGTTCACTACGTAAAATCCAAGCTTAACTACGTACTACGATACAAAAGTCAATCCAGAAGAAGGTCCACCCCACCGCCTCCGGGTAACACTCACCAACACCTCAATGACTTAAGTCGAGGTCACCCTGGTTGCTAGGACTCTGCTCACACCAATTAATCAAAAGTGTCCCTGAAAATTTCTGTTCGCCTAATATGTCTGTCTTCTGGCTTGTTGCGCCGTGTAGTCTGATAGACGTTTACCGATGTTGTAGAGGTCCTTGATGCCTCCATCATCAGGGCCCCAGAGCCGGTCTGGATATCGTGGCGAAAAACCAGGACTTTTGGGGTGACGTCCCACGTATTCTGCTGAGAACTTGACGTCTCGCCAAAAGATACTGTTCTGCCGGGGGCCAAACCCAGGCCGTCAAGCCCATGGGCCGCGATTTATTTACATAAATCTGTAATTACGATAATGATTCATCAAACGTCCTGAAAATGGTTGTGTTCGTCTCCGTTTCAAAGACACGTCTAGGATAAAAATCAAAGCAGTTACCGTTTGAACCTCTTAGGTTAGGTTGTTAACAATAATCAACGTGGTCTTCAAATTTTCGATGCGTTTTTTTTTTAAATTTGTGCCAAACATTTTTACGTATTTTATCGCATTTTTATTTGAACAGTAGCTATCATGGCAGTTCACATCTGTGTCTAGAAACTGTGCTTAACATTCTGAAGCGTGAAGCTTTTTACAAAAACTTAATACGTATTTCACAACTAACTGAGATAAATACGCGGCGCACGAAATTTGTCAGCGACACTGCTCTCTATCTCTATCTCTTACATATCCCAACGTACATCTCCATGTTTAAAAACACTCGATTTTGGGCATTTTCCTGAGCCACTTGGGTGAAATTCACACCCTAATCCATTACTATCCATTTTAATATTGTCCCCATCTAAGCTTAAGTATGCCAAGTGGTCTCTTTGCGACATTACGACGAAATTCTTCAACTCATTTATCATCTTCCTCGTGTTTGTTAAATCACACAGAACGATACCTGATCTGATTACTGCGCTAATTTTCGTTGAACAATGTTTAATAACGTCATCATACTAGAGTTTATAGCAAAGGCATGCAAAATATACAGATTTCTGAAGTATTATTGTTCTTGTAGATGCTACTTAATAACGATATATGTCAAAATCTGACGTCAGTATGGAGATTTCCTGCTTTAACATCGTGCAACACGGCTTACGGATTTGGAAATATATGTCATGAAAACTAAACGAAACCATTTGAATGTCTATCATGGGGATTACATCTTTCAGTTCGTAACACATCGGTATGATGATTTATGTACAGACAAGCCTCGTACACAACCCATCGGATATAGGAAGGAAAGAGATGAACGTGTAGGCTACAAGAGCGGTCTACAGCTCGTTACTTTTGATGGTATTTGGAATGCATTACGCTTCCGATAATACAGCAGAGAGTAGTAGTCATTTTACCAGTTTCATACAGTTCATCTTTGCAGAGTTATAGGTACCAGTAAAATAAGGAACAATAGAAATGAATACCTAATTGTTTTAAGATTTTATTTATAATGGTTGCTGTAGATACTGATTTACGTTGAGATGCGATCTGAAGTTCTCATGACTCAGATGATAACGCAGAAGTACAACTGAGAAGAATAGCATCACTTGAAATACTTTCAAAAATCATTTTTACTTAACAATTAAGTCAATACACAATGCATTTCCCCTAGAAATCTTGTTATTGAATGTAAAATAAAAACGAGCTCTGATACACCTAGAGAACTCAGCGTTTAAAAAACTACGAGGTAAAAGTTGACTGAAAAGACAATTCTTGTCTATAGTAATGTTGGTAGCACTAAAAATTATAACGGATTTAAAGAATTAAAAGGAAACCAGCGATCTATGACCCAATATAGACGTGGAAGAGATTACATTCACGAAGAATGAGAGTTCAATATGGCGGTGACACAGTGGGCGTAACAAATTTTTACGATTCGGTGGAAATCTTTGAATAAGAAATTACCAGCGTTGTTCATACGCGTTCCAATAACTGTAACGCGTTGATATTAAAGTACTGATCGATCAGTGTATCCCGAACAACTGAAAGATCAATACTGATAAAAATGCATGTGAATAGCTCGTCGAGACATATAAATTATGCGAAATATTTCAATGTGGTGTTATTACAATGACGGCCTCTTGCTGTTTGCAATGTGATGTGGCCAACATTGAGAATAAATTTGTTTTTTATTTGTTCCTTTAATCTGTAGACTCACATGTTTCCATAAAATATTACTAAATTAAGTATTTCATGACAACGGAGTGGTTGAATAATTAAAGTCTTTCTCTTTTATTCCAGGAAGAGTTAGATGCGTAATCCCCACATGCACAAACTTTCTCCATCCGTCCATGAATTATCAATGGGCCACGGCTAGAAGCAGTGAGCAGAGAGCTGTGTGCTGGGACCGGGTGTAGACGGAGCCATAATTTATCCTCATACAAATAATTACATCAAGAGCTGTGATGTTACAAAGCAAATATTGAACGTTTCTTACTGTTTAAATACCACACCAGTTAACGTTTTTAGTTTCAGAGAAGTTGAATCATTATAAAGTTTACATTTTAGTACTGTTATAGTGTGGGTGATGCGATAAGATATCCCGAAGATACTGAGGAAATTCATGTCACGTCCTTCGGCGCCGAAATGGTGTGCTGATAGTAGTAACAGTTGCAAAGATGTTAGTTTTAACAACAATTTAAACTGATCTTATTTCTTCATGTTTTAAACTGTCGTCACGTTTACGCACGTTATTACACTATTTAACTAATGCTCGTTTTTACGTCGAAATAAGTTTTTCGTGTATACTTTGCTATCAGCTATGTTCTCTGTGGTCACTGTTCTATTATTAAATACCAAGCGATTATATCATGTTATAATTTATTCTGAAAGGTTACTATGAAATATTTTTATAAATATATATAAGTTCTAAAATGTTTAAAACTTTGAAACGAATGTACGAGATTTTCTTTCGTGATGGTATTTTGTAACTGTGTCGTGTTCCCAGTCTGCTATTCCCGAATGGTGTGAGGTCGAGTGACGATAATAAAATGCATTAAGATTACGGTACACGGTAGGATGCTGCGATGTAGAATTATTACCTCTTCATCGACATAAAACAAAACTGAAATATCGATCGCTTTTCACTCTAATAATTCGGTGTTACCTCAATATCATCATACAACTTTGGTATAATTCAATAGCGCTTATATTTCACATCTTTTCAAACACAATTTGAAATCTGTTCCACATTACAGCGATATCTGCATCATTTATGAATGACTATGTTACGTACTAAAATGAGAGAAAGTGTTAATTGAACATAACGTGGTCCGACGCAACTGTGTTCTGAACGTAGCGTAAATAATACTTAAATGCTCGCTGTCACAATTCCACTATCGGTAATGTTTCTGGTTTATCGTGTAACCATAATATAGTGACGTACACGAAACGCGCTGTTTCATCCCGATTATTGTACAGTTCTTATCAGCACCCTTAAAAATGTTCGTAGCACAAAAATTGGATGTAAATATAACCAATATCGTGTAAGGACTTTTTATTCGAAATTACCTCGCAAATCACCTCTGATGTATAGGAGACCGGTTTCGAAACACCATGTCTGTGTTTTGTGTTTCCGAGACATTCAAAACGAAAGACACAAACGAGTCAATGAGAAAGCAATTTTAGGATAATCATTGCAAAATAAATAATGGGGAAGCAACACAGATCAGGCATACAAATCTGAAATGTGATCAAAATAAATTTACTCACCTTTCGCAGTGCAAAGTAGATCTGTACCCAGTGAACGGTCCTACGCCTCGTGAGGTCCTGCAAGTAAGAGACAGAAATTATGACGGACAACTGAAAGTTACGAATTTATTACTCGACATTTCAGATTTTAAATCAGTTCATCAAACGAAAGAGCAGAAGTTTCCATAAACATTAAAAACCGGATTTTTAAATACTGGCGTGGCGTTCCTGTGGGTGTAGAAACACAATTTGTATTATTAATTGAACCTTTGTTCTTAGATGCCGTTACAAAATGCTTTTAACCTAAATGTTGAAAGCAGAATGACTGAAGATATTGTAAGATATTGTATAAGATATTGTAGGTGCGTCATATTGTGATTTATTTAAATAGTATTAAAAATATATTAAAATTGGCCGTCAATCACAATATAAGATAATTAAAAGATTAAAATATAATTTTTCGTTCCGTATCGAGTACTCGATTTACATATGGAACATTTACGACATGTTTCGGCTATCATAGAGCCGTCATCAGGTGTTATGTTATAAACTTTTTAACTGAATTACTGATTTTTAATGATTTTTAGTTTTATTTTTCTTATCATTTTCTCGTCGTTCATATTTTATCTTCATCTGAAGGATGGCATACAAAACGTGTAAGGAAGATATTGCGGCCTAAGTTACCTTAAAATTTAACTAATAGGTCTGACGAAATTAAAATGCCATCAACATCAAATCACGACGAAATAAAAGATGCATCACCTTCTCTCGTACTTCTAGGCTTGCCAATACAGCGCAGATAATAATATACTGACTACTACCTTTCACTTGTTTATAAATGTTGCTCACGCTTTAAAACACAATATACATTCATCAGTATCATTTTTAAATTCCTTTCAGGTAATGTCTGATATATACAGCCGAATGACACACAACAGCACAGTTAAAATGAGTATTTGTGCCGATTAAAAGACGTACTCTAGCGTGAGAACTCCAAACCCTGTGCCTGGCCTTCACATCAATGCTACCAACCTGTCTGTCAGGGAATACGCATTTACAACGGAAGTAGAGTCTCTTCACCTTTTTTTGTTGTGGAACCCAGTCAAACGTCTCCGGGAATTCATTTATTCATGTTCGTCTTCAAAATTGGACAGACATATTGGTGCCTTTGCTAAAAAGACGCCTGGTACGTATTTAATAAGGTATATAAAAACCATATTAAGAATAACTATGACGTCATCTGTATGCTTACATCACTGAGAGCTGAAATTCTATGAGGGTTCAAAGAAAGTTATCTAGTTATATAGATCGAACATCCATTTCTCAATTATGGTTGTGAAGGGGACACATTCAGTGCCCTTGAAAACTTCAAGGCAACATGTAAGTGAAATGTAGGCCTGCGTTACTAAACAACTTTCTATAAAACCAGACAAATATCTGTCCTCCCTGAAGGTTGCACACACGAAACATTCGACGCGTGAATCAAATAAAATAGCGTCCCTTGAGAGGGGCTGCGAAGTCTTTAATGACAACGATACTCGTCCGCATGTAAATTCTATTTTCGATTTAAAAAAACAACAACAATTATTCTTGTTCTTACAACTGTCAAAGCTTCATCTTTAGGGGCCAAATTTGTCTCAGGTACTCAAAATATGTTTTTAATGGCCTAAGCGTTGTTATTAATACGCGTTTCTTGAATGTGTTCGTTGAATCTTTTACAGTGTACACCACAATGACCAATGAAATTCAAAGGGCAGTCTGGCCAATACAAAGGCCCGAAACAGTTTTATATATTATTATTATTTAGTGTTCTGTCTGACGACAGGTCCATATGAACAGGATCCTTCCATCCTTTTCTCGGACTGGAGCGTGTTCATATACGTTCTTGGCAGATGATCCAGAAGTGGTTTGCCATTGCCTTCTTCTGTGTGTGAATGGGATGCCACGGAGGAAAACTCCGTGTTGCCTAGACCACGGCCTTGCCCAACACAAGTTATAAATTCGGGCACTGCCGGGAATCGAACCCTAGACCCCAGGATTACAAGGCCAGCGTTCTAACCGCTAGACCACAGTGGCAAGGTTTTTTTATATATATATATATATTTCGGGTTGTTGTGTTCATTCTTCAGTGCACTGGGAAGAAGATTGACACAGCTAACCGACGACCTTAAACAAGGAAAGATGATGAAGTTCCAGGAATTAAAACGAGAAGCTGAGAATAGGGAAAACTGGAGAGCTCTGTTTGGGCAGAGCAATGGACCTGTCGTAAGACAGAACACTGAATAAAAATAAAAAAGTTTCAGTGCTGATAAACTTTTGTAAACACTGTACTTCTTAAATAGTTTCATGACACATTTAGCAAAAGATGACAGTGGTAGATATTTATGGAAGAACGCGCTGGATGATTCAGTAGCGCTACTGATTATCTCGTAGTAAACGTTTTATAATAGGCGGCTGTGTTTATTTCCCTGTTTAAGGTATGGAATGTATAAAGTGTCTATTAAACATAGCAAGAAATTCTTTCCGATATTCTGTGTTCCAAGTGTTACAGTGATCGTTCCTGTGGGTTTAATGTCCATTTCAAACGACAGTTGTAAATTGTTACACCTAAGAAAGTGACCAAGTTCCGTCTCTGGACTCGGGAGACCGGGGAATTTAGTGGAAGCCATTATTGAGCATTAGGGTGCTGCTGTTTAATCCCCGGAGAATGAGATCCATTTAGTAGGAGGCGAGGTGAGACCCCCACACGCGGTCTGGACACGGAGCCCAACAGAACAATTAATGCCCCTGTTGGGTATCGCAGTCCGGACCTCCGGTATGTTTTCAGCCATCTTCCGACTGAACTACCAGAGCGGAAAATCCACTCATTTATGATGAAGAAAACTAATTTAGTACTACGTAAATGAAAGTTTTTTTTAACAAGATATCACAAATTTTTTACCGACACCCTACAGCCGTGGATGTAAATGTTTGATACTATCCAAGTGTTCAGCAGTGCGAGTCTGTTGGATATTCATCACACTTACTGTCTTAGTAATTTATTTCTGCGGAAACACACGAACCTGGGCAAAATTGTTTACGTTCTAAGCTATAACACTATTAAAGTGACTAATTTCCTAACAACCTTCCGGACACAGGATATGCATTGAGCGGCTGATGGAGACTGAACACATCTGAATTCTCCCACGTCTTCTCGGAGCACTGACGCCCGATTAAGTGCCTTTATATGACGACTTTGCGCTGATATTTAATGACGGTACATTTTTCTGCATTTAATTCTGAAAAAAAATCATCTTTGTTATATAATCTAATAATACCTTCGAAAATGTGGCAAAATTTAAAATATTTAAGAATTATAATAACTAAAGAAAGAGTATACTGAAGCAGAGAAGTGCTTGCTTCACAAGTAGTTTGGAATACATGTCATACCCGCTAGTTATTAACGTACAGGTAGAAATATACAGAATTATAATAATTTCCGTTCTGTATATATGTTTTCAGCAGCGTCCATATATAGGACTATTAATGAATTAATTAGTAGCTAAAGGAAGCAATATTTACATACTTTAAGATTATATCAAGCATGCATCTAGAGAGACTAAGTAAAACCATGAAAAGCGCTGTTATGATAACTGGTATCTTAGCCTAGATTTGAACCCGATACTATCTGAATAGATGATAGGAATGCTAACCACTCGACCAAGTAGTTTGTTGTAAATAAAATATTAAAATCACTTTTATGTGGTGCTGAAGTTTGGATTAAATTAAGCTTGACATTAGGTGAATTTGTGTAGCCTTTTGAAGCCGAAGATTGTCTAAATTCAGTCCGTACCGCAAAGTAAACACGACTCTTTACAATTACAAAGATCAGCCGGTTAATTCTGTTTAAAGAAATAATCCCTGTTTATAACGAGAATCTAACGGGACCCAAAAACACAAAGTGAAGAGTGTTGAAGCTGGTGTGATATATAGTTACCACTGTGCTCTGAAGTGTTTATTTCTTGGAAATCGCTAAGAAATTTAATCTGAACCGACGTTTAAAGTAGACAAAATATCTAAATAATTTTTCTTGCTCATAAACAGAACCTTTCGCTCATTCCATGTTACTACTGACTTGTCTTTCTCAGAAGAAGTTTCTGAAAGGTGTTTTGAATTGTTCGATGTCCGAAAAGATCGCGTGACGTCATTTATCAACAGTTGCAATTAACTGTGCATTGGTTCCGAAACGAAAATAGATTATATTGGAGATGGAAATGTCATAAGAAAAGATTTATTGAAATAAAAGCCTGTTCAAACAGGGTTACCTCCTGACGGCTGCAGAGCATTTAGCTTCAAGAAAACACATGGGGAGTCTTATGTTTAATTTATTTTATCTTTGAAGGTAACGAATAGCTTAAATGTGGTTTTCTATTCTTCTCAGGAGCAATCTGTATGGTCTTGCGATGCAGGTCCGTTTGAAGGTTTATTTACAGTGTTGTTTTTGAAAGCTGTGTCCGATGAAGTTACAAGGGGAAGAAAAACTTAAAATAAGATGGATCTTGTGTTCACCTTTCTAATCTACAAGGCAGATTAAAACCGTAGAACCAACTTCATTACTCACTTCACTTCTTTCATTAAATTCTAAATTTACAACACCATGCTGAAATGGTTCACCTTTCGTATTCTGCATATTCAACGGTTTTTATTTTACGAAAAAAAAAGAAGTTAAAAGTTAATTTTGATCTACAGAATGTAACATCCTTCACAGTTACTTTTTATTTTGTCTACCTTCATCAATCAACATCACTGACTGGATTTAATCAAAGCACTTCTTCTCATAATGCAAAAATATACCGACCTGTAGAAGGAATGAGATTGGAGAAATGGGATATTATTTCATTAGCCGGAACTTTATGCAATCAAGAACTCAGGTGAATTAAAATTTTCTTTACAATGAAACCACCCCCCACCCCCAATATTTCTAAGAAAGTTTCATCGCGTTATAAACAGAAAAACGACGACACCAAAATTCTGCATTTTAAATTCTTTTAATAACTCTAGAAAGTGGGAGCATGATACGACCATCCAGTATCGGATGT